CTGTCAAGAGATTGCCTAAAATAAACGTGTTCCTCAAGACCACTCCTGTTATCAACCAGTTGTTTTACTCCTTTCTTCCTTTGCACAATTAAACTTATCAGACAGTGTTAGAACACCACTGCTGGCAGATGGCTTAGCTTCCATTACTTGCAGCTGAAGTGATTTATGCTTGAGAGGTATGCGAGTATGTTCCACACGATCAGACTACCTTACCTCAGGGACTATTCCTACGTACAGAAGGCATTAAAGCACACATCCACTGCCTGGGGGTGGGCAGGACACAGATTTCTCTTGCGCACATCAAATTCTGACAATCACAGTCATTTAAAAAAAAAAAAACTTGTCAGAGAGAAGTCAGCAGACGCACATCAAGAAGTATCTCCTTCACAAATTATACCCAAATCCCTATGCTCTCGGTGATAGACAGCAAACCTCCCAGGTAGGAGTTGTATTACTAAATCAGATAAAGAGATTACACAGATCTCCAGTACTTACAGCGTGGTTGACTATGGACTAGGGAAAAGTTAGAAGCTTTTTACATAAGGAGAGGGTGGCAGATTCAGTGGGACCGGCATTAGAGTTGACTGCACAACTCCACAGAAAGGTGACCCTCACGGTATAAATACATCACTTAATTGAAGCAGCCATCGTATTACATCAGGATACATCACCTGTTACAAAAAAAGCCCTGGAACTCAGTATAACAAAATTAAGTGAGGATTACTGTCTAAAACAGACAACTACGTCATCAAAGCTTACACTAAGACTTGTCAGTTAATCATTTATGTCATTTTCCCCACACTAGTATATGAGGTGATAAGAATGGCTTTGTAATAGCAAGAAAAAAGCCCTTCTCATAGGCTAAACTGTATCTTGACTTCAGACTCTAATGAGTAAAGAAAATAGGGATTATTACTTATGTGACAATGACGGATGTTCAGTATTCAAAATGATCAGGTTTGCACTGTAGAAAGCAAATCTCTGCACATTCTAAAGGCTCAATGAAAACCTTTCAAGCCCCAGAAAAAGTAGCCAGTAGCACAGACACTAAGTTTTGAGCTGTACAATGCAACTCAAAAAGCAGATGTTACTATAAGGGCTTGTCTCATGATAAAGTTATGATAACGCAGAACACAAAATCCAGCCATTTATTCCTAGACAGATAATCTGTAGTTCTGCTGCCATCTTCCCAGCTTTAAAGTTTCAGACCATGAACATCTGCTTACAGTGGCTAACTTCTGGATCTCACATGCCTCCAACTGCCTGGTAAAATGAGAACTCTTACAAAGGAAATTTTCAGATTCTCCAATCCAAAATTATTAGGAGAACTGTAGAGAGGGCCCTTCTTGCTGCTGTGAGGAGGAAAAAAAATTTGCTATTATTTTTTAACAAAGGTTTCTGAACGTACAGATGCTACCAGTTCCTTTTAAGCATAAATGACACCTATATATTTAATCATATTGATATCCTTAGGACGAACACTGAAGCACCTTGATCTTGGCTTTCAAAACAGTATGAGCCAAAATCTTGTAAAAACACCTGTGGAAATTTAAAAAAGCTGCATGGTCATGATTTTCAAAGTTATTCCTGATTAACTGCAGTAATTAGAAAGAACCTCGTTTTTAAAATTTCTTGAGAATTAACTCAGAATTTAAAGTGAAAATCTCTTTTTTTTTTTTTTAAAGATTTAATAATTTGTCTCAAACTTGTTTACTGTCAGGAGAACCCCTAATTTATAGGTAAACAAATACAGAGGTCAACTTGCACCAAGTATTGGGGCTTGGGGGTTGTTCTTCCAAGAAAGAAAAATGCATGAAGCTTCTCTTATTTAAACTTAAGACTGAACAGCCTTTGGATCTGGAGGGCTGGCACAGAAAGCTCACATAGCAACACCCAAGATCATACCCAAGAATGAAATTGCATAGCTGTAAATAAACAGGTTTTGGTTATCTCATGAAAAATGAGATGGACTGGGTCCAATCTCAGGAGATATCCACAGCACTAAAGTAACTTAACATAATCCATTTTGATTTAATAGACTCCATATTCATTGTATCAGAGCTACCACCACTTTATTCTAGAAACATCTTTATTAGGCCATTCTGGCTTACTGAGCAACTGAGCATTGCAAAGCTGTAACTACTCTGCTAAATTAATGAGACCTTCTCTTTTAAAAGCTGTCAATTTTGTATGTCTTCTGATCGATGAACGTACTTTTATTCCCAAAAATTCCTGGGGGGAGTGTTATGCTTTAAAAAGCACTGCTAGGTAATACACATGGCAAGACTTCCATTACATTACTTTCCCCACCACCATCACCTCAAGATAATAGGTGACTTGAGCTGTTATATACAGCAGAAGCATATTTCTAAACATAATACCTGGTTACGCTGAATGAAATCTTCAAAAAGTATCTTCATCACCACCAGGAAAAAAAAAAACCAACACAAAAAAACACACACATACCAAAAAAACACCCCCAAACTAAAAAACTAAACCACAAAAAAAACACAGACCCCAAACAACAACAAAACCCACTAAAGACAAACAAACCAAAAAGCCTGCAAATTACCACTCTTTTCATAGACACATTACAAAATGAAAATAGAAGCTGTGGTGGCAATAGTCCAGATGGCCAACACAGTGTGATGCTACTTGCAGGGCATCATGTTTTTTTTTCCTCATCATTGACATGCCCCTGCTCTCCTATGCAGGTAGGAAACCACTATCTTCAAAACCAGAAAAGAACAATCGTTCTATTTCCAGATGAGAATATGAAAACAATTCTATGTACAAAAGCAAGGGTTAAGATTAGACCAATTTATCAGGTTAGCATCCAATTATAATACCCAAGTTGAATATTTTCTATTCCTTTACATGACAGCTGAAAAAAGTAAATTCAGACATCATTCCTGAACACTAAGTGTGCATTTACTCTCCATTTCCATGTGAGCAACTAGACACAAACACACACTTTTATAATAATAATAATAATAATAATAATAATAAAAAATCCCACTGAAACACGTTATGGAAGAGGAACGTAACGTGAGCAACCACAGGAAGATGTAATTTTGCAAACCGCTGATGCTAACTTGACTACTCTCTAGACAAGGCCCATGAATTTGTCTACATTTTTTTGGAAACAAATTTATTAAATAAAGGGGTGCAGGAAAGTATCAACACTGAATATATTTATAATAACAAATTATGTAGCACACCTCAAAATAAACAGAAATTAAAAATCACATGTGTTCAAACAATTTGCTTGTGAATTTATATACTTCATTGTTTCTATTTCTTCTATTTTGGAAGATGGTGCAAGATTATTACAGTCTAGCTCTTAACACTAACCCTGCTATGTATCTTATTTTTTGAACATATATGCAAAATGACTTCATCAAAAATAGTAAGTATAATATATAAGAGACAAAGATAGGAACAGAACTGTACTTTACATCTCCTGTGTAAGCTTAATGTTCAGCTGCCTGGCAGAATCTGGTTGGCAGACACTTGAGTTTCTCCAGTATTTGAACAGGCCGAGTGATGTAAGCAGACTTTCACTAGCAAAGTTGTCTACCACTTTCCCCCATAACAATAGCTACACAAATGTCTGAGAGCTGTGCACTGCAGAAATCATCTGGTACCAAACCTTGCACAAATGGTTAATCACATCCTGCATCCACCGTAACTTCCAAGACGTAAGAATTTTGCTGCACTATGCAGAAGCAGTCAAATCAATCATGAGGAACGATGCACCTTCCTCTCAGTAGCCCATCAAAGGCAGACTACAGTGCCATGTGAAATAAAGGTGATGTAAGCAGGAAAACTATAAAGCTTACTGAAGACTTTAATGTGCCTTATTATAGCAATTTTCAGTGCATATATGTTGCATAGGTGCACTGTGATCCAGCTCTAATTTATGCACCTCTCCCAGAAAAATATGTATCTGATAGGAGCTTTAGATTTAGTTCCTGATTAGCCAAACATTTGCTTTCACCATTAGAAACACAACCCTATTCTTTTGCGGCATTCTTTACTGGTAAAAACAAAGCCATATTCCTTTAAATAGACTGCATGTGCATAGCTGGACGGCAACCTACTCTTCCGTAGACTTCTGCAAATGGTATGTATGAATTTCAGGAAGGAAACCAGTGAAGAGCTTATAGGTTTGTGTAAGTATTCCTTCTGCAGAGCTAAAATTTCACGAGAATCAGTGGTTTCTCGAAGCCCAGCGGTGACATCGTTATTACTGAAAGATAGTACCCGAATTTCACACATGGATAAGGAAATTCAAGGCACGCTGCGTAGCTTTAGACAAACAAGTCCGGACACTGCCGAGGAGCACTGCCAGCGGGCGCAGCCAGCTTTCCACCTGTTCCACCAAGGCGGGACGCTGCTGACTCTATACCCAGAGTCATACGTGCTATCCACAGACTGCAGCGCTTCCTCCTATGAATTACAACCGTTTATGCTCATGAAGTCTGCACGACACTCGGTCAACTCGAGACCCCTCCTAACAACGCTGCTGTCCTTTCCCCCAAAGTGTCCCGTCACAACGGCAAGGGCGGGAGGCCGAGAAACTGATTCTCGAAGAATCCACTGTTTGCTCGGGATCGTTTTCCTCTGCACTATCGATCTTCTCACCAAATCTCTGCCATGCCCCAGCCCCGGCCACAGCCGCCCGCCGGTCCCCTGCTCTCCCAGCCAGGAGCAGGAATCGCGCCCGCTCCCGCCCCGCAGGGCGGCTGCTGGAAGAAACTCCCCGGGACGGAGCTGCGATGGACGCGGCGTCTCCTGGGGAAGCAGGGCGGGAGGCGACGGTTTGGGGCGGTGGGAAGCGACGGGTGGGGGCAGGTGGGGAGAGGGACGGGGCGGTTGGAAACAGCTGCGGACAGTTGGGAAGCGGGGACGGGGCGCAGAAGCCCCAGTACACACAGACAAGGAGAGACCCAGCGGGACAGCGAGGAACAGGCGGCGACCGCGGTTCCATCACCCACCGAAGAGGCTGCTGCTGAAGCCGTCCCAGACGCAGCCGGCGGCGTCCCACACCCAGCGGCTCCTCAGGCAGGACATGAAGGTAAGGCTCACGCCGAAGACTGACACCAGCAGGTCGCTGAGGCTGATGTTGACGAGGAAGAGGTTGGTGGGCGTGCGGAGCCGCTTGAACTTGTAGTAGAGCACCAGGACCAGCAAGTTGTTGCACAAGCCCAGCATGCCGATGGTGGCGACCAGCAGCGCCAGCAGCTCGTAGGTGCCGGCGCTGAAGAGCGGCCGCTCGCCCGGCACCTCCTGCTCGGCCGCTGCGGGCTCCGGGCGGCTGGTGGAGCCCGTGGCGTTCCCCGAGGGCATGGCTGGCGGCTCACGGCCCGGCGGAACGGGGCTAAACCTACCCTCCGGCTTCCAGCACCATCGCGGACCGCAGCTCCGGGCAGGAGGGGGAGTCCCCGCCCCCTCCACGCCCACGGAGGGCGCGCCCTCGGGTGGCTTCGCCCTCGCCTGCCCTGTATGGTTCGGTCTGTACCAATGCCTCGTCTCGTTCTCCCACCGAGGTGAGCAGGTTGGTCGCGATCGGGATGTGTGTCCTCCCCTCTTCCTTGAAAATCCTCTGTGCTCTTTAGCTCGTTACGGCTGCCATCAGCAGTGCTTCCCTCAGGGAAGCCGCGTTTAAGCAGACCTCTGTGCCCAGCTCCCGGAAGAGGTATTCAGGCTTCTTCTCCAGATGTTCTGCCAATGAAAATTCCTGTTATGGCAATAGTTTCTTCTCAGGGGCTCCCCTGCAGTGCTCACAGGTGGCTCTAAGAGTTGCAAGCTTATGAAGTGACCAGCAGCATCACGGCCTTGGCAAACTTGGGGTCCAAGTGAACACTTTTTTGTCAGCTGTGGAGCAAGTAAGATACCATAGTTTGCACCACGAAGTCACCTGGTTTTATACCCTTGTCCCCAGTGTGTATTGTGTGAAAATAGTACAGGAAAGCCCAAGCTGAGTGTGTACAGCTCTAGTGGGTGTTGGTCAAGGTGTTGTCCTGTGGTAGTGTTGCCTTGCTGTCTCTAAACCCAGCCCATCCCTGAATGTATCACAATTATTTTTGCTTAGCAGGGCTTTATGCCTAAAACGCCTTGCAGACCAAGCATCACTCTTCCTCAGAGGAAGAGCTCTCTGTTGTTTGCTTTACTGGCTGACCAACATATGTGCTGATCTGTAACAGTCTTCACAAGGGTCCAAATAAAACTTTCAGTTTAGCCCTATTCTTAGTTTAGCTGAGCAAAAAAAAAATCGTTGAATATATCGTCTATGAAAGTAGCAGAATTTTCATGAAAATTTGTCTGGGAAAAAAATACCCGTTTTGGGGTTTTTTTCCTCTCTTATATGCTCTTATTAAATGGTCTAGACTGAGCATGTGATTCCTTGTGGACTGAGACTGAAAGCATGGGTAGCTGAGGTAGGTTTGATATCTTTTAAAATACATATCTATATACAAATTATATGTTTGTCGTGGCAATTTTATATGAAAAATTATGCTGTAATACAAGGGTTAGGAATAAAGAAAGTCATAGGTCAGAAAAATAAAACAGTGATTAAAGTAACTGTTCTCATCAATGTTAACTTTATTTACAATCTATCTTTTTTAATCCCTTAAATATGATTTAATCAGTAATTGAAATCTACTTTGAAAAGATAGTTCAGTCTGTTTCTTTATCACTGGTCTTTGGGGGTTTTCTCATTACAAAGGCAGCAGGAGTTGCCTTTCTTAAATCAATTATATTTTTTTCCTCATAAAAGCTATATTTATAAAACACATGAGCTTCCAAAATTTCCCATAATACAGTGCTTGAACGTTGGTTTTAGGGAAGGCATAATTTTGTCTTTCCTTGTCCATAAAAGAGATTACCTGTGCATATCAGACTCTTCAAAAATACACAGTCAGCAGTTTTTTTAGGACTAGTCACTGCATGCTGAAAGTCTACCAATGACATGGCTGGACCAAACTCATGCTACACCTCATTGAGAAGAAGACATCTCTATCTCCTGCCTTTAAAGGAAAATCTTAAATTGTCTATCTTTTTATCCCTGCAAAATGAAAGGAAAGAAAAGGTGATGAGAAGAGCAGGGGAGAAATGTAATTTAGTCAGTAGTACTAATGTTATTGCTAATGTTATTCAAGTGGTCTTAAATACTTCATAAGCTTTCATATATTTCATGAGAAATGAGTTCCATTTGTCTTCCATGAAGTGTTACTACTCATATGAGGCACAACAAAAACAAATGCTTTGTTATAGTATCATCAGGTGAAAGGCAAAGCTGGAAACAGAACCCTGACCCCTAGTTCTAGTCCAGCATCTGTTTTACCTAACCAGTCTAGAACCATTGCACCGATGGTTTTAATAATCTAATTAATTCTTTATTCAATTCTTTTCTAGCTTGTCATGCAATTAAAAAGCAGAAACACTTAAAAAAACCAGACATCTGCTTTGCAATGCTTCATGTTTGCACTATTTTGTATTTGGACCAGACCCTGCTCATCAAACATGCATGAATATTAATGGAAATGCTGCAAAAAGGATTTTACCTTTACTTTTACAGTTGCATAAAAGGATAAACCATAATGCAATATTTGCATTTCCGAAAGTGAGTGTGTGTGGCTTACTGGAAGTGTGTCAGCTCAAAGTACTAAATATATATGTATCTGAGTTCATGGAAGTAAAAAAGTACAAGAAGCAGGAATACAAGGTCCCCAGTCCTGTACTATAAAAACTGCCTCTGAAACTCCCAAGGACTTTCTAGGTCACTTCTGCAACAGTACTTTTAACATATTATCTGTTATGCACAATTTACATGGAATGAAAAAATGCATTGGCTGTAAATTTTCATCTGGCCAACATATGCTTATATATGTGTAAAACAAACCTTAAAAGCCAGCTTGGAAGTAATAATCCAAAACTGGAGAGCTTGCAGATGTCTGGGACTTCCCTGCTTTTGCTGTGTTTAGTAATTTGGAATGTTTTAGCACATCAGAGCATCGATGTCACTCACATGTTAGAGCTAAAGAATCTGTAGCAGAGTAAATAAAGTGTCAAAGTTACTGCTACTCTGTAAGCTTGTGTAGAAATACAAACCACAAACCATGACTCCCAGGTGTAACTGCACCATCAAAAATATCAGGGCTTTTGCAGTGAGGTTTTTAAGGCATTCAAGAGACCTATTTCATTTCATATTTTTTCATTGACTTATATATTGCTTTCATTCCTTTTCTCGAATCTGTATCTTCTGTTAGCGTGCCTTTCAAGTCACAGGCTCTTTCCTATCTTTCCTGACAAGCAGAGAGCGAGCAGAAAAGTCAAGCTTTTGTCCATACTAAATACATTTATTTTAGGAGCCAGATAATGCTGGGGGTTTGCCGCCTGTTTTGAACTTTGTAAAACTTACTATTTCACTGGGCATCGTATACAGCCAAACCACATGCCTCTGAAAACAAAACAAAAAAAAACCATCCTAAAAACTCTGGCTACCTGGCTTCAGTTTTTTAATTGGCATTTTTACAATATTCTTCTGGCATTTCTTTTCTTACATGTTCTTTTTCCTATTCTTTAGCCTTAAAAGCAGATGAAAGCCAAGTGATTATTCACTGTATAACCACAGTGCGTATCTATAGAGCAAGGGAGAGTTTGCAGACAGAAGAAATCTTTCATCTGTTCTGAACCACTTGGCATTAAAACAAAGCTTTTACATAGATCTAGGCCTGTTAATAATGCAATATGTAAGTAAAAAAAATGCACAAGCATAATGGCAACAGTTTAAAACTAGGGCTTTATCTTGCAGAACTTGTAATCCTAGCTACATAATCTAGTCCTTATTAGGATGTGAACTTTAAATCATAGCAGGTTAAATGGAAAAGTTGCACTTTTCTCTGGACTGAGGAAAGTGCTTTGCTCAGACATGGTTCACTGAAGCAAGCACAAGTTGGGCAGCAGAGTGTGGACCCAAGCAGACAATCCTGGGAGGTGATGACATGCTGTCAGAACATCTGTACTGCAGCTGGAAGTTGGCTGTGCAGGCTGTTCCATGATATGTGAGCTCTAGTATACCTGATATGTGTACAAATAGCTGTACTAGCTGCAGGTGTGATTCATCTCACCTAAATGATGTATTTGAAAATGAAGCACCTAAGACCAATAAGATTAATCATTCTCTAAAAGTGTTTATTATTATTGGCTGGCACATAAGGTGACTTAAATAATTAACTTTTATATGTCTAAGTTCGGTGAGATGAACATCTTGGCTCTACAAACCTGTGTGGGACTGTGGTACATGCTCAGGTGGCAGATGCATATTGACTTTATCTGGACCAAAATCAGAGTCAGAAACAAAGTCTCATGTGTGCCAGAGTCTCTTTATCTGGACCAAAATCAGAGTCAGAAACAAAGTCTCATGTGTGCCAGAGTCTCTTTAAGTGCAACTAAGGCCATTTTAGATCTACTGTGGTTTTTTTGGGCTATTCTGAACCATCATTTTACTTGGGGACAGTTTGCCTTTGCATGAGACTACCAGGAGGAGTGACTGGCAGCCTGGTACAGGCAAGAAAGAAGACCTATCACCTTTTGCTGTTTGTGTTCTGGAGTAGTTCTGGGTTATTTATTATGAGCTCTCATAATTCCATCGTCAGAATTTTAAAACTTGCATAGAATTTCATAGACTTAAGATAGTTCTTGAGATAAAGATTGAAAATTATTGATTTTCCAAATGAACTGTCATTCCTACGATGAACTTGCTGTAGCTGTTCTTTGCACCCTACAAACATGCATATAATTAACTTTGTACAGGTCTGATAATATCCAATAATTGAGACTACTATGATTATGTGGTAAGAAGAGGAGAGTTGGGAGAGTCGACTTCTGAATAATAAGCAATTCTACTATAATCCATATCCAGTGTTTTCCACACTATCAGTACAGGAGATAGGAAAGGAAATGCTTTTCATTCAGTTAATGCTGCTGTAGACTTACTAATGCAATTACTCATTAATTTAATCTTGAATTTTCCTGCTTATCATCTAATACAATTTCTATCTTCTCTGCTTTCGTATTTCAGTCCACTCAGTCATCACATCTTATTTTAAAATTTTACTGTACATTTTTTTGAGTTTAAACATTGAAGACAACAGAATTAGCTGGCACTGAAAGCAATGGTTCCCCATTTGGGGTTTCTGTGTGTTTTCATTATGTTATGTAACATGAAGCTTCCTTATGAGTTGTTGCAAGAGAACAAAAACATAGCTTTCTGTTCTTAACCTTCCCATTCTAAGGATGTATGCTAACACCTTTTATGAACCTTAAACCACTGTTATTAAGTG